GTAACTGAATAGGCAGATCAAAATTTAGTCAGTAGGAAGAATATTGAGATTGAGCAAGTTGATGTAATGGTGATCAAGATAGATGTCAGTTTATATTTTTATGTATGATTACGATGTACTATCCTTTTCTTTATTTTTAAAAAAACATCAATAATATTCTACTTCCTGATAATATTTAATGACTAAATTTTAAAATTACTTTCAGCTCACAGAGACATACTAAACCCAACCAAGTGTTTCAAAGTAAATGTAACATGTAAATGTAAAACTGAGCTTAACTTTATCAGTTCTGGGTTGCATATTTGACCATATATATATGTATACTAAAAAACAAAACTTAATTCTATCAGGTTGAGGTACATTGCCTTAACCATATGTATAATGACAAAACTGACCCCAACTCTAACAGTTTCAGGTACATTGCTTTAACAATCTGTATAATGATAAAATTTACCTCAACTTTATAAGCACCTAGTACATACAGCATAACAAAAGTAAACCTGTTTAACACTCTTACTACAGGCAGGTCCAAGTGCTCATGTCACAACTTTTTAGTTACATTTAAAATTTAATAAACTACTTTATTATCATTGTATACAAATAAATTTGGTGTCCAAACATGGTTAAGTTTTAAGTTCTTAATTTTATAAGGAAATGTTTAAAGAAATCCTCAACCTCCCTAGTAGGAGAATTGTGACATTTGCTCTCAAGGTCTTCCCTCTTCTTTAATTTATTTAACACCCCTCCAAAAAGTACAGAATACAACATAAATTATTCATTACTATATAGATACAACTCAGGCAAAGCAGAATTTTTATTGCCTTCAAACATTTAAAGAGCCATAAACTTGAAAATCAGACCCACTTGCCATGCCCACCTGTTACATCCTCTTATCCACAAACAGACAATACCTCTCTCTGATGTTTTATACATTATTTATAACCAATAGAAAGCCAAAATTTTACTCAAATGATGTATTATATTACATTGTTTTCTGTACAAAGAATTGTCTATTTCACCTCGAGTTTGAAAATTTTTCTCACAGGAATCACATCAACAAAATTAACTGAATTTTTAAAGGCTCTTGTCATATAGTTAGAAAGCCAGAAAAATTATGACAATTATAGGTCATTGTTCCCTTTGTGTATGTTATTATTCAGTGTTATTTGGTGCATTATTAAACTGAATGATAATTATTTAGTGTAGCAGTCCCATTAGTATAAAAAAGCAAGCTTAAGTTTCATTGACAATCAACAGCAAAAAAACAAGATATTTAAAATTTTCAGATGAAAAAGTATTTTTAATCTTAACATGAAAATCACTTTGCACTTGAGCAGTCAACACTGATTTCCATATAATCACAGACAAATTTTTAGTAAAATACTTCATTAAAAATTCTATTTTTTTCTTTTTGTCTCCAAACAATATGTAATATTTACAAAAAGCTTGAAAAATTTTTGTAAACATTCACATATATTAAAAGTTATAGTATGTAAACTGATGGTCATTTTATGGTCGCAAGATTGGTGTAATCCACCGAGAGAATAAATATTCTAGAACTGGGAAAGAACAATTTATTTATCTTTTAACAATATTTAATAGGTAAATTTAAAAATTAGTTTTAATTCACAGAGAAATACTACCCCCAACCAAGTTTATTTCAAAGCAAACATTGTATACTGACTAAACTGAAGATAAACTGTTATTAACTTCATATAATCTTTTTTATAGTGTTATCGAATCATGTACTTAAGTTCAACAAGTCCAGCTAATCTCTATTGGCAGAAGAGATAAATTATTTTCAGCTAACCTTATAGCCAATTGGCACTAACACCATCAGATGTAGAAAAGACCTAGACATCCTACCACACTACTTAGCCCTAGTTAGGTATGAGAGGTTCAAATAACGTAGCAAAAAGTATTTACTTCCATTTGTGAGACCCTTAGATAGTCTGATGTGAAGTATGCTACCAGGGAGGTTTCTGGTGTTCCTGTACATAGTGGATTCTATGACAATGAGTTACAGGCAAAGTCCATTTCAATACAACCCTCAATTCTGATGTTGGGTTCCATAAAAGCAGCAATGGAGAACCTTGTATCACGATGAAGATAGGAATGTGGAACATGAAGACTCTACATAGAACTGGAATTGTGAGCAACGTATGCCAGGAAATGAAAAAACTGAAGGTGATATCTTATGCCTAAATGCGATCAGGTGGGCTGGTTCAGGGAATTTTGAGCTAAGGCAGTAAATTCATGTATTCAAGAGGAACAACACAAAGGAGTAGTTCTTCTGGTGAATGAGTAATTAAATAACTGTCTAAAAGGGTTCTGGCCTATCTAAGGGAGGCTAACATTGGTCAAGTTTTGACAAAACCATTTGATTTAACCATCCTCCAAAATTAGAAGTGAAGAACAAGAAATTGAAAACTTTTATAAAGATTTTGAAGAAGCTATGCAGACAGAGAAGTCAGAAAAATATCTGATGCAAATGGGGACTGTAATGTAAAGGTAGGTGAAGATAGAAAAGCCACACTTGTTTGCCATGATGCCTTGGACAATGGAAGAGTTTTATGAAGAAAAATGCTTAATGATAAGCAACAGTTGTCTTAGACATTACCATACTCATTTCTTTTCTTGGAAAGCAGAGTGTGACTCTTTGATGATTACAACCTAGTGATCGAACAAGGCTAAAACTAAAGATGCTAAACAAAGGCCTAAACCACGAAAAATTGGGAATTGGAACAATTTAGAAAAAACAACATACTCAAAGACTTTGGGATAAACTAAAAATTGATTTGAAATAATTAATAAAAAATAATTTGAAAATAAGGATGCTGAGAACCAACAGGTTAAGTTCAAAAAGGTGTTAAAACAAATCTAGATAAATAGAGATCCTAAAAAATATGGTTCATAGAAAACAAATAGTAAAAAGAGGACAGAAATAAATTTAAAAAAATCAAGCATTTATGCAGACAAGCAAAAAATAAGTATCTGAACAAAAAAAATATGCAGAGACTGACAAATGCAAAGCAACATATAACATGCACGAAATGCTCAAAATAATGAAAAAGTTGATTAGAAAACCAATCTTGTTTTCCAGTAAAGCCATTAAAAAATATTAACAATTAGATGGTTTTTGAAATTGGGAATATTAAAGTCAGGTGGGCTTAGTATGGGAGAGAATTATACAACAATGTCAGGGAAGGGAAACCAATCCCAGAAGTATCAGAGCCAATTAACAATGGCCCAGCAGTTCTGAAAAGGGAGGTGCATGAAGTCAATAGAAGATTAAAAACTGGAAAAACTTGCAACATAAAAGAATGTGTGCTGTAACCATTATTAGATAATTTGTATTAGAGCTGTAACTAAGAATAGATTTTGACTTTCAATGGTTCGAAGCATATTACCAAATGAAGCTTTGAACCTTTGATGGTAATAATTTTCATAATTTACCAATGACATCATCATAACTATTAGTTTATATCTCTTTGAAAACATTTATTTTACAGGTAATTCACATAACTGAAATAAGACTTTCAAACTTATCTTAAGAATTTGTTATACAAAACAGTAATCATGTTTTTGTATTTATGCATTTAAAAAAAATCATATTGTTCATGTATACTTGATACTACATGCAATCTTCATATAACTACTTAATACAGTATGCTTGAATTGCAAGAACATCCTATTATGGCCAATTAAAAGAACTGCAGCTGACTTAAGCAAAAGAAAGCTTTACTTAACAGTCATCATTCCAAGCAGGTTAATAGTCATAGTCATTTTAACATAAAATTGTTGATTAATTAAACACACCTAATAAACATAAAAACAGCAAAACAGAACAGAGTAACACTAACAGTTCAATTAGAAAACAAGTGAAGAAAAAAGGAACTTAATGTAGGAATGGCTAATATCAATCCTTCAAAAACAATGCAAATGCCATTCCTACATTGTTTGCATTGTTTTTGAAGGATTGATATTAGCCATCCCTACATTCAGTTCCTTTTATGAAAGTTTTTTTTCTATACTTGTTTGCTTTTTTTTAATGAAGTGTTTCAATAGACATAGAAAGGTTGTATCTATAACCAAGTTCTAAATACAATGAGGTTCCAACTGTGATATTTACTGTTTATCCATTATTGACTGGAAATTCCTATTTCCCCCTGTACTTAAGCTTTTTAAAAGAACATCAAAATTCAGTAAGAAAGCTAACTTCAAGGGGTAATGACAACATCGTTTACACTAGACTTATGATTTTTTTAAAATTACTACTAGTTATTAACAATACTTATAAAAGCGGATACCCAGTCACCTCACGGAAATTTGTTGACATCATTGTTTTGGTTTTTGAATTATCATGTAATAAGAAAGAGAAGAAAGAAGAACAAGAAATTCAAACTTTTTGCTATGACATTTATAGACATTACCAAAACTTGTGACTCAGTCATTACATAGATATTGTTATAGAAGGAAACACTGTACAGTATTGCAAAGTTCTGATGACCTATTGAGGAGATATTTAAAATACAATTTCTATGAACAATCCCTACATAGGCAGTGCTACTACCTGCCTGATAAATATGGACCTCCAATTATAATAAAAAGTTACAAGTAAGAGTGTTATTGTCAATTATATTTTTCTGTTAACAACACCGTTGGTTAATTAAACAGATGCCTTGAGAAAATGGATGTCTGTCTTTGGGGTTACACTTAGATTATGTCAAAATTACTCGAGTCATTAGTTTCAAACCTATCACTCCAGTTAAAATCAAATATACTGATTCCTTGTAAATTTTGAAAAATTAATGGCTAATATAAAACTTTTAGCTATCTGGACTTTTGACAAATTTGTCACAGAAATATCAGGAATAGCTTGATCTGGTTCCTACTCTTATCAATTCAAAAATATAATAGTAATCTGTCAAACGATGAAGCAGCAGCCTTGAATACTTTAAAAAGTTTAGATAATTTAGTGCTCTTAAACCTGGGTAAAGGGAATGGAGTTGTCATTCTCAATAAACAAGACTACCTTAATAAAGTCTATGTCATCTTAAATTACTCCAGTAAGTTTAAAGTGTTGAATAAAGATCTTATCCAACAGAGAGAAAATAAATTTCAAAAACTCCTATTAAATCTAAAGAAAGAAAATGTAATTTCTGATCAAGTCTACAACCAGATTAGACCTGTTTGATCACATAATGGTATTCTATACAGTCTGCCCAAACTACTAAAGTAGGCGTGTCGGTCAGACTTACTGTTTCTAACATAGGAATGCACAGTTTTAAATTAGCTAGTTTTTAAATAAGTTGTTACTTCCATTTATAAAGAGTGACTTCACCAAAGTTTCCTTTAATTTTTCTAATTTTGTCAAATCAATGAAATTTGATCAATCTGTATATATCACAAGTTTTGATATTGAGTCCTTATACATTATCATTCCACTTGATGAATCAGTCAAATTAAGTAGTGCTTTATTATTTCCTGATGACATTATAATTACTGACTTAACTAAAAATCAATTTACGAAACTATATGAAATTACAACCAAAGAATCTCATTTTGTGTTTAATGATAAGATATGTGATTAAGTTGATGGTGTGGCCACTTGCTCCCATATTAGCTAACTTATTTTTGTCTTATCACAAAACTAATTGGTTATAGTTCTGTCTATCCAAATTTAAGCCTTTAGTTTATAAGTTTTTCAATTTAGAGGTCATCAACCTTAACAACAGGTTTGAAACCAAATACTACTACAAACCAACTGGTCTGTACAGTCATTTCAGCACGTTCATACCCGATTGTTACAAAATTAATTTAATAAACATTATTTCATTTCTGTAGTATATATTGGTGTATAGAATACATTTTAATACTAGAAATAAATGAGCTTATAACACCAAACTTATTTCTATTTCATTAGATACTCAACTTTTCATTTTACAGCATCTTCTGGAGTGTTCCACTGAAACACAAACTGACGTTGAGTGTCTAATTAAATAAAATCAACAATTTGGTATTATGAGGTCATTTTTTTCTAGTATTAATTTAATAAGCATTCTATTTCATAGAGTGTATAAACTTACTACCTCTTATTGAAATTTTCATGATGAGGTTATCAATATTAAAAACTATTTGATTAAAAATGCTTTCCCTTTAGCATTCATCAACAAAAGTATTTTTGAATATATTAGTAAAGCTTATTTACAACCCCAAGATTCCAGACTTCAATGTTCCAAAATATCCTATCACCTTTATGTTACCCTTCACTGGTTCTCATGGCATCAAACTAAAAAGAAAAATCAAGAACATTCAATTTATCCCCAAGTCAGCCTAAGAGTGGTCTTCAAGCCAAACAAACAAATATTTAATTTTCCTTTTTAAAGACAAAATACCTCCTTCAAAAATATTGCTGGTGATGTATCAATACACATGTCAATGCTATAGGCATGGCTACATTGGGTCAATGACACGAACCCTAGCTTCCAGAGTTATGGAGCACGTGCAAAACAGCCCTTCCAACAAACCTGGAATCTACAACCATCTAAGCAAAAACTGCAGTTAGAAACCTCACAGCGAACATTTCAAAATAATAGACTCAGCAACAGATAAATGGACATTAAAGAAAAATAAAGTGCTCCTAATTCAATACTTAAAACCAAAGCTGAACAACCAACTAACAACACCATTGCATCTCAAACCCCCTCTGTGGTGATTCCTGTATGTGATGAGGGGACCTCCTCTGGGATCCAAACATCCACTCACATGCTAGCTATGCATGGCATCCTGTAAAGGGGAGGAAAGGATTCTGGTGGTTGAGGGGTGTCATCCTGATGGCGAGTTAAATCAGGGGCACTTCAAGACATCACTTTGGCCTTAAATTCCTGTAGATGAGGGGCCTAGGGTTGGCTCCCCCAGGATCAATCAGCCAGTCCTGGTGGGCTAGGGTCAACTAAGTGCCAGTACTGAACATTCTTAATGGGTGTTGTGAACATTGTGTCTGATGCTGGTGTTTGGGTAGTGCTCACAAAACCCTGGCATAGCTGCACTGTCCTTGTTTGGCATTATAGTGTGTCCCCTCATAGGGATTCATGGTGGGTGGGGTCAGTGGGCACTAAATATTCTCTTTTTCTTATGAATCCCTTACCCAGTGTCCCCCCCCCCAAAAAAAACATGAAGAAAACCGTGTTGATTAGAAAACGACCAAGTTTGGAAGACTCGGATATGCAGTCACCACCTCCACCTGTTCCTATACCTTGTTTGTTTTAATTATTCATTCTATGTCTACAAAATGTTCAGCAAATGTCTTATTTTCTCATACAAAAGGGTTTAGAGGGGTTTGCTGGCACTCCAAAGTCAGTCGAGAAGTTATGGGGACATTTTGGTGGAAACATCTACACCACATCATAGCAAATTCCTCCTGATGTCGAAGGCGATTGGGGAGTAACCTTAAGAGGTATATCCTATTGAATTCTTCATGAGGAGTTACCACTGAGAGGGATTTGAAGAACATCCCAGAGTAAGAGATCCTCACTGGTTTCTCCAGTTAAAGAGTTTCCGCTGTGCAATGCATCACCACTCCTAAGGATGGAATTCTGCTGCTTACCAGTGATTTTATACTGACATTTACATCACCACATCTAACTACCACTGTCAAGGTAGGTTATCTGAACTGTAAGGTACAACCCTATATTCCTAACCCTCAGGTGTTTCAAGCATCAGCAGTTTGGACATTCTAAGGCATCTTGTAATGGTTCTTTGACTTGTGTTCATTGTGGTGGCAAAGACCATGATGCATACAAGTGCCAAATGGACCTTAACTACATCAACTGTAGTGGTTCAGACCCCTCATACCTTCATTCTTGCTTTAAGTGGGTGGAGGAGAAAGAGGTACAACATTTACATACTGTTAATAACATCTCTTATACCAAGGCTTGGAAGTTGTTGTTCCTTGTTTCATCTCAGACATATACTGCTGCACTCTGTTACACTGCTTCAGTGGAAGCGGTAACAGGTCTTTCTATGCCCCCAACAGTCTTTTCCTCACCATGTAGTCTTTTGTCCTCTGTGGGTGCAAGTGTGAATTGACATGTCTACATCTACTCGTATCTCTGTCCCAACTGTTGCATCCAGTGACTGCTCAGGTCCCTCTCCTTCAGCCCACAAGATGCAGAACTATTATTCGGTCATGCACTCGGTCTCTGAAGTCTCATTCTTTTGACAGAAATATGCCCATCTGTCCAGGGCAGGTTCCATGGTGGTTAACAGACCTATTTCTTTTAAAAAAATTTCCAAGCGGTTCTCCTCCTCCTAAATTAAAATGGCCACTTTGATACAGTGGAACTGTCAAAGTTTTTTTTCTAATTTGTATGAAATTAAGGCCTTGATTGATTCTTATCATCCCGTGTGTCTCTCCTTACAGGAAACATTCTTCAGACCTGCCAATGCTGTGACCCTACTGCAGTTTTCTTTATACAGGAATGACAGGTTGTGTGATGGATGAATTCATCGAGGTGTAGCACTGTTGATTGACCAGCACATTCCACCATGTCTGTGCTACTAAATATGCATTTGGAAGCTGTAGCCATCTGAATTTCTGTGGGTCATACCACCACTGTATGATCTCTTTACCTGTCACCAGGAGAGACTTACGATCATTGAGACCTTGATGATCTTATCGACCAGCTGCCATCTCCATTCTTCATCTTGGGAGATTTTAATGTACACAATCCCCTTTGTGGTGGTGCTGATATTGATGAAATTGGTCATTCTGTGGAGCATATGCTCTCAGATCACAACTTTTCTCTCTTCAATACTGATTCTTTTACCTATTTTCATGCATTTAGTTAGTATTTTTGCTGCTACTGATCTATCTATTTGTTCATCTTCAAGTTTTTTTCTTGGAGGGTTGACACAGACCCATGGGGCAATGATCATTTTTCCATCGCTTTAACCCTTCCATTACGAGCTAGGTGGATTCCACCCAGCTCATAACCAAAAAAGTATATATAATTTTTGAAAAAGTATGCAACTCTTCACAAAATTTTGCAGATTATTAATAGATATTACATGGATTTCATACACAAAATATCTGGTTTTTGAATTATGTTTTAAGATTTTCTTGTGAAAATTTTTCTTTCAGAATGTTAACTATCTAATGTACAAAACAATTTTGATTTAAGATTAAAAATACTTTTCTATATCTGAAATTTATAATTCCATTTGCATAATCTCTATATCCTTCTAGATAATCATCAAACGTTTTTTTTAAATAAAATTTTATATTTAATCTGTTATCGAACATTTTTATTTTTAGTAAAGCTTTATATTTTATTTGTTATTTTTTGTACTGTAATATTATACTTATTTCTCCAGGTTGTTAGGTAACTAATCAAAGTCAAACAAAAATAAAGATTGCAAAATAAAATGGTATTGTTAGTAGTGATTACCAAATTTCAAAGTACTTATGGTCAGAGTTTACGCTCTCACCTTTTTACACTTATTTTCTGTAGTTATTTCATTGGTAGTAGATGAGTTAGAAATTAGAAGAAACAAAATGAATAGTACTCTGTTCTTTTCAGTACGGACAGTAAAGTTCTAAGTAAATCTCCTGAGAGTCTCTTCTAATCTTTTTACACTTATTTCCTATTGTTATTGTACTGTTAGCGGCTGAAGTAGAAACCTGCCGAATATAAAGCAATGAATCACCGTTCCAGTTTAGGTGTTACCATACTTTGACACCGTCAATATCAAATAAGTTCATGCGACATAATTCCCAGATATTAAATTTTGAAAACACAGTGGGACAGGATATATAAACTTGTTAACAGTATAATGGTTACAATGACAATTGTCTAAAGCATTATAAAATGTTTATGACTTTGTAGAAAGTCCAGGCTAATCCAATAAATTAAAAAGAGGAAGTATCCTACAGATACTATTCAGATCACTAGTCTGAGAACACAGGAATAGAATTTGCCAGCTTCTTTGCAATACAATGGTTGCAACAAGAATTGTCTAAAGTACTTCATAAAAGTGAGAAAAAATATTTATGATATGGCTCTGTACAAAGTATAAAGTTGTATCCTATCCAATAAACTCTCTAGTTATCTTACTTGGTAGTCGGGATTTAGCATTGGTATAGGTGTAAATGTGTGTAAATGCTTACGGACATCTTGTTTCTTATATTACCATGCTTACACAGTAACCGATAAATGTGTAGTTTCCAGTAATATAAATATGGCTCATTTTGGTTGGGCTAGCATTCTTGGCTTAGCCTTCTTGATTGCAAGTTGAGAAACAACTTATTCACCAGCAAACTGCAAGTTCAATAAGGTGTTTATGTAAAGATGTTTCTTTTCATGTGTTAAGATCAGTTGATCAGTGATAAATTTATTTCTTAGACTTTCACAAATTACATAAATAAACTTTTCCTGAATTACCAAGTATTTAGTTTTGTATAATTTGCTTTTATTCTACCTCAATGTAAACGAGTAGAAAATAACACAAGTTCTTACTTTGTAAAATACAGTAACATATTGGCTACCATACATTACATTTGTGTGTGTGTGTGTGTGTATATATATATATATAATATTTTCAAATAAATAATTGTCAGTTATTTTTATTGAAACATAAAACAGTAAATAAAAAGTATTTGGAAAATGATCTCTACTACTTACGATGCTTCGAAGTCCTTGTTTGCACTCGTGAGCCATAATTGCTAAGCCTCGTCCAAATTCACATGTGGAGGTGGAAAAATAATAATTTTTGTAAACTTTATATAAGCATTTTGGAATACAAAAATCATTATAAATTACTATACAAATACCACAAAAATGCACTGTAATTTATCAGACTTCCTAACTAAATTGTATTTGGGTTTTAAAAAATATAATTTCTATTCACAAAATAGCCTTAATAGCAATACTTCAAACTTTCCAATGATATAAGAGCATTTCTCTCATAAATAACTTAGGAAGACTGACAGAATTATGTAGAATAAATATATAGCTTTCGATTGATTACAAAGTTATTGGTATATGAAAGTAGGCTTAGATAAATAAGTCTTCTCAAATGATGAAGTGGTGAGCTTCATTATTGGTGGTTTGCTAAATATCATTATATCTCAGCAAATAGAAAAGGTAGGAGTTTCTTATTTTATATTCTAGCTTGCCAATATCTAACATCTGAGTTTCTAATTCGTACAAAACTATAGACTTTGTATTGTGGGCATCATAAAATGTAATCTGACCAAACCCAGAAGGCCACGTGACACACAAAAATCGATATTTAGGCTTTTTTTTTATATTTAATTTCAAATTAAAAACTAAATAATGTATATTACCAAAATTTGAATTATAATCTACAATTTGATACCAAACTTATTGACCTACGTTTATAAAATAATAGCTAAATAAAATGTTTAATGTGAATCTACAAATGTGATGACATGCCCTCTGACCCCTACCCATTTAGATATAGTTAAATAATGAATTTTCATTAGAAATAATAGGAAAAAATCAAAAATGAATATATTATCTTTCTGAAACTACATACAGTTAGGAAAGTTCTTGCTCAAATTTCAAACAATTTCATCTGCTAGTTTTATTTTTGGAAAGAAATATTCAATATAGCTATGTAACCTACTTACAATGGAAGTAGATCATTTTGATTGGGCTAAATGATTCACCATGTTGGTTGTTACAATGTGACATAGTGCTAGCACATCCATTCATGAGATGGAGGTTATGTTTGGTCACCTATGGTTTTGTAGCACTAGTGGAAATGTAACTAGTGCCTTGGATTTAAATACCAGTATG